TGTGTGTGTGTGTGTGTGTGTGTGTGTGTGTGTGCGTGTGTATGTGTGTGTGTGTGGAAAGAGAGAGAGATAGAGAAAGACAGGGGAGGGAGAAAGAGAAAGAGAGTGAATGAGACAGACCGACAGACAGACAGACAGACAGACAGACAGACAGACAGACAGGCAGACAGAGTGTGTGTGAGAGACTGAGAATGAGAAAAAGAGATAGTGTAAGAGACCAGACCATCAATGATTTATTTATAGAGGCACCAGCCGTCCATGTCCAGGTGCTGTTTTAGCCGAGAGTGTTAGAGAGATAAAAAAAATGAGAGACAGAGGTGAAGACATAGACAGAAACAGACAAACAGACCAAAAAAACAAACAAACAAACAAATAAACCCAGGAGAAACGAAAACATGTTTCATCTTTTCGTTTTACCACTACATGTACTTTCAGGTGAACAACGCTGGCATATTTGCAGCAAGGTTTATCAAAGATCTTGATGAAAACGCCGTAGAAGAGAACTTTAACATCAACTTCAAAGTGCCGGTACTTCTGTCCAAGTTGGCTCTTCCACATCTGCTCAAGACAAAAGGTAAGGCCTAGCATATTTTAAACCAATGCCTTTAATTAATATTATTTTGTTTCTATTTCTTCAGCGTCGTATTCTGAAAAATAAAATGTGTGCTATCGTGTTGAAACCGGCGTTCGTAAAAATAATGACAATTAATTAAGAAACTGACACTTTTTTCTGCCTGTTTGGGCAATTTCTTTTAATTATTATTTTTTTTTGGGGGGGGGGGGGGGTCAACACCTTTTATGTCCATTTATCATCACCTTCGTGCTTGGATTTTACTGAGAAACTTTGATCAAAGGCACAAACAAATGTTAATTTGCTGTTTTCAATAACACTTCAACTTGGGAGTCACCTAACTGTTGTGGCCATAATTGGCTGGGTAATTTTACCTCTGACACCAGGCCACCCTGACCTCCTTCAGTTGCAAATATATCAACTTCTATTCAAGACAGAATCATATGGGCATTTATTCCTTCACCAAAACCAAGGCAAGTGAAGAAACTTTATATATCCACTTTTTCAGTTTCGAGAAAAATGAGTTTCAAATTTTGACGATTTTGAAATCTTTATAACATAGTAAAAAAAGAAAAGTGAATATATTGATACCGAATCAAACTACGGTTTGTGGGCGGTTGGCGGGTGCTAAGGTGTAGTTTGCTTCTTCTTTCCTATAAAACATCTATCTTCCTTATCTCCCCTTCTTCTTTTTTTATGTTTGTTACAGTAAGGAGGAGCCAAGGAGTAGCAGTAGAAAGGCTGCAGAAAGAGTCAGGAGCCCAGAGGAGGGGGCAAAGGAGGTGATCTCCTTTGCCTCCTCTGCTTTCATTTCCACTTTCTGCCCCCACCCCCTCACCTCCTTTGCCCCCTCCTCTGGGCTCCTGACTCTTTCTGCAGCCTTTCTACTGCTACTCCTTGGCTCCTCCTTACTGTTGTATTTCTGCCACACCCCTGATCTTCTGGTAGGAAAGATCTACACCTAGCCTTCTCGGACAACGGCGAAAAATCTCGGAGGGCCCGTGTGCAAGTTGCGCACCTTAAAGATCCCTTGGTGGTCTAAAATCGATAAGAGTAGGCTTCGGCCGCCACCCAGGCAAATTCAAAATTTCCTACCAACTGAAAAATATTAGGTGTGTCCCAGGCGCGGTTCGTCCATAGAGCACGGTCGTGCAGTGCCGCCCACAATTTTTGAATGTTCTATGACGTAAAACACCCACAATAATAAAATAAAAGAAGCCAGAAACAAACACTAGCCAAATATTATGTCAAAACGAAGGTCCTCACTGGCGCCATAACTCTCATTTCTATGTCTATAGCGCCGTAAAACATCTACTATGCCATGCCAAAGTCCACGCGCTTTAGCAAAGCATAAAAGGATATTCAACAGTGTAACCTGACCTATAAATCGCTCTTGGGGATAAACCAAGCGACGACGACACTCGAAGCGAGTTTGGCGGTACATTAATATTAATAAACCGGCACATCTCAAATGTGCTCCTGCCGAATAGTGCCGAAACCTAGCCAAGAGTAAGCAGTCTAAAAATAAACACGATCGACCCTACGCTCTTCTTTGCCAGTATTATGTGAGCCCCGGAGCAATCCAGCGGAGTGCTCAAGTGAATTGTGATTGGTTAATTGTTTGTCTTGCCACTATTTTAAGTAATTCTGTAGCCGTGAACCTGAGGGAGGTGAACATGATCGCCCCTGAGTTGTGCCTTTGAATTGTTTTGTAGTGGAGTAGTGAAAGTTATTACATGTACTTGAGTGTTCAGTTTCAATACAGGATGAACAAAATTGATGTTTAGCTAACAAACAAATTTAGTACTAGAAATCAAAGCGACACGTAAGAAAAATGAAAATATAACCACGAGGCCCTCCCTCACCAGCCCAAAGATCCTAAAATTATACACCGTCTCATTTACTATGCCCTTGACTATCTTCAGCATGCCATAGCTTAATTATTATTGTGCACGCCCACTTTTTAGCCCCACGAGCCGCCCCTGGTGTGTCCCGCGAGCTCATATGACCTTATGCAGTTGCGAGCGCCGTAAAACACTTTACAAAAAGAAAACTAAAAACTCGCTTCTAAAACCTCTAATCTTCTGGCGCTCATATGACCTTATGCAGTTGCGAGTGCCGTAAAACCTCTACTAAAGCTAACTAAACTATGGTTTAAACATTTACTGAGGTACAAGAGCTGCTTAAAACCTCACTACCCATATCGATTATTCCATTTCGACCAAACGTGGATATTGTCACTTAACTTGCGCTCAGTCATCGATATACTGTTCCATTCAATGTGCGTTGTAAAGGGGTTCACCTTGTTCGACCACAGCTTTCTTAGATGTCTGTTATCAGCTTTTTAACAAGTTATCAGGTTTGTTTGTTTGTTTGTTTTTAACAATATATATCAGTGTCCATCTTTTTCTTCATTTGACCCTGTTTTTACTACTCATCCATACAGCTCTGCGTATATTGTCTTAGCCTTTTGATTTACCTATTATAATGTTTGTGTGGAGTCGCTTGTCTAGTGCGGATTCGTAATATTGAGGATGTGGGTTCGGGGGTTCGAGCCTCAAGCCCGAAGTTGTGTCCTGATGAAAGACACTTTACACGGATTTCCCTCACTTTACACAAGTGGAAATGGGTACACGGCCATAGACAGTGAAAGATCTTGTCAGTATGTTAGTGTTCTTGCGCCTATGAAATGGCAGTTTGCACAATATCCTTCCCATGAAGTTGAGAGTGCTCTCAGGTCTGCTGGGGTAATAATATTATAGATCGTAAAGCGTATAGAGCTTAATGTTGAGAGGGAATTTGTGCTATTCAAATGCTATCTATTGTCGGTTATTGTCCCGGATTCGGTGACAGAGAGTAAGCAATCAATATCTTCCCCAATTTTACGTGGATCTCCCACCGAAGTTGAAAGAACTTGTGTTTGAATATCCGGAAACCATAATTCATGCTCAAACTATGAACTGGTCAGACGAACACCGATGCATAACTCCATGTCTTGAAGTAACTAAGAAAGGGCGTTTTGCGGTAGGAAATACGCTGAATTCAAGTCTGGTAAGAGGTTTTAAACCTTTTATCGCGGGGAGTAGAAGTTGATTTCGGATCTAGGTATAGTGTACATTTTGAAAGAGCAATGTGGGAGTGGCACGAACGGTTCAATGTGAGAGAAAGTCTGGCATGACTTCTAGCTGTGCTCAGACTCTTTGCGTGTGACGTTGATCTGACGAACACCGATGATGAAAAATGTGTCGTTGACCTACGTCAGAGAAAAGTGTCATGAAAAGTAAACAGAAATAAACACACTCAACAGCACACAAACGCACGCACACATGTATACACACACAAACACACACAAGCACACACACACACACACACACACACACACACACACACACACACACACACACACACACACACACTGTCATACACACGCGGCAACGCACACGACAACAGCAGCACACAAACGCACGCACACAAGCATACACACACAAACATACACACACATACACACACACACACACACACACACACACACACACACACACACACACACACACACGCACAAATTCGTGCCTACCGAAAACTCTAGAGGGTATTGCGAGATGAGAGTGAACGTTTTATTGGATGCTTCAAAACCTCAGCAGGACAGTACAACACAATAATTAGGGCATCATTTATTACCGTGTCATTACCATGTACTTATTCCCTTCAGTGTCTTTTCACCTCTGTTATTTCTTTTTATCTTCAGGGAACATCGTGAACATTTCCAGCATTGCCTCCGAAGAACTGGTGAGTATCTATCTATCTATCTATCTATCTATCTATCTATCTATCTATCTATCTATCTATCCATCTATCCATCCATCTATCTATCTATCTATCGATCTATCTGTTACCATAAATAGCTTTCTATATTGCTATATGATACACGTTTATAGGCCTATTTAATATACATATAAAAATTCATGTAATGTACAATTATAATATTATATATATATTAGCATGCGTACCCGTTCCATGAACGAGAAAATAATGTTTTCTATACAAACATTAATGTTGGGATGTCAATAAAAGTGTCAATACAGCAGTAATTTAAACAGTTATTTGATTAAAACAGGAATGTTTTATTCTATATTTGCAACAAACAAACAAAAAAAGAAGAATTTTCAAAAGTGAAACTCACCTTAGACTGATGTATATCGTCCAAAACCTCTATATTCCTGGTTTGACTGTTGGATGCCAAGATGTGAACAGCATCTTTATCTCCAGTTCGGGACATGGTTACGTACAACATTCCATGTGAAAATACAGTGCTTGTGAATTGGCCAACTGTACGAAGAGACTGCCCCTAAGCTTTATTAATTGTAATGGCAAAGAATGGTCTGAGGGGAAATTATTTTTTTTAAATTGGAATATGAAAGGTTGTCCACTGTCTGTTGGTGGAAGTATAATTCGAGGAATCCAATGTTTTTCATTCTTGTATGGTCCAGAAAGAATTTCAACCTCAACGACGCTTTGGCATGGTTTGTGTTACAACACACCTTGTACCTTTAATTAGTTTTGGTAGATTAAGAGAGCGGAGGACCATTACGGGCATACCAGTGATGTCAAAACACGGGGTGAAAGGCTGGCCAGTTCAATAGAGTTCAGGAATTCCACAGGATAGTGGGTTGCATCATCCTCGTTGAGTGCAGTATTTATAGACTGATAGACTTTGGGTGTAAACGGCATCATATCAATGAGTTTGTTGTTAGTTTTTTTAGACTTTCATTTAAAGCAGCTAGTATGGCCCTTTCTGACAGCCATTGCAAATTTTCCAAATTGCGAAATCGGTAAAAAAAACTTGGTTGATGAGGTCTTCAATAGTAGCAGAAACGTTTCCAAGTTCGAGAACGCTGATTATGTCTGGTTCAACAACAACTGATTTCCTTCCGTTTCCAATGTCCAATAATAATTTGGAGAATAAGGCTTCTTCAAAGTCACCATGCAAGTGAACACGCATGTTT